GAAGCATGAGTACTGCATGGAATCGCGAAGAAGTCTCGAGCGATAGCCCGATTCCCAGGTGAATCGCAAGAAGGGCCGAGGCGAAAGTGCGATTCCTGACTGTCGAAGGCGCGGCGCCTTCATATATTACAGAGACGTCCCCCACGCGAGAGCGCGATTCCTGCACGATGTGCCAGGAGACCCCGCGCAGGAGCTCGACGTCCAGTACAAGGTGAGGAAGCATCATGCGGGAGCCGCTGTTGTTGTTGTTGCAACTTGGGGCAGGGGGGGCCAATTTGGTGATTCCCCGCTTTGAAAGCGGGGACGCTATCGGAACGCTATCGGCACGCAAAAACAGAAAAAGACTAGAACGAAGAGACATTTTAGCTTCCCATGGTTTGCATCCTAAGCTTTCCCTTGTTTTAAAAGCGGTGCGAGCCCTGGGAGGAGCACTTTAATCGAAAAATCCCAAGTGCCCCGGAGCAGGGGGGGGATTAACGAGAATAACTCCTTGGAGATGAGAGCTGAACAGCAGCAACAGCAAGAGCAAGTATGTTGAGACTGGTCGATATTATCTGCTCGCGGGCCCTGCAAAGCGTAAATCCCCAACCATCGATGCCCGTTCCCTTCGTCTTCGACCGTACCCCCTTGTGGGTATATCTTTCTTACCTATAACGTGTATTACGTGCAGCCACTAAGGTAGGGGAAGAGAGGGCGGATGGAAGGAGGGGGCAGGGGGGAGGGAGGAGGATGGAGCACGAGAGGGAATAGCATTAGGTGAGGCAAGGAGCAGACAACACGTGGCAGAACCACACGGGCAGATCGGGCGGGTTGACCCTAACGCGCGGGTCGGGAAAGCGGGCCCAGGCGATCAGGCCGAGAAGGCGTGTTGCTGAAGCGTGAGTACTGCATGAATCGCGAGAAGAGCCCGAGCGATAGCGCGATTCCCCGATCAATCGTCAGGAAATCCACTGCGCGAGCATGATTCGTGCGTGTCGAAGGCGTGGCGTCTGAGGAGGAAGTCTCACGCGAGAGCGCGATCCCTGTATAAACTGTGAAGTCGTCCGCGCGAGAGCGCGATTTGGTACAAATTGTGAGGAAGTATCAGGCGGGATCTGTTGGTGCTGTTGTTGTAAACCGGCGGCCACGAGCCCAGTTTGGTGACACCCAGCTTTCCCTTCCCAAAAAAGGTACGAGCCCCAGGAGGAGCACATTCACTTGAAAAATACAATGGTTACCGGAGGGGGATCAGCAATACTTATTCTGAAATGCCAATTCACCAACAACAACCAAAACAACAACAATCACTACAACAACAAACAACATGCTAAGACTGTTCGCTCCTATCTGCTAGCGTGCCAATCAATACGTATATCCGAAACCCTCGGTACCCGCCCTCGTCGTCTTCGATCGTACCCCCTTGGGAGCATATCTTCCTTACCTGCCGCGTGTATTTAGTGCAGCCCCTTAAGCAAGGGAAGAGAGGACGGGTGGAAGGGAGAGTGAGAAGAATGGAGCACGATAGAAAGTAGCAGGAAGGGGGAAAGGAGCAGAAAACAAGTGGTAGAACCAGACGGGCAGATCGGGTGGGCAGACCCATAGCGGGCAGGTCGGGAAGGCGGGCCAAAGCGACGAGGTCGAGCAGGCGGGTTGCTGAAGCGTGGGTCCTGCATGAATCGCGAGGAAGTCTGGAGCGATAACGCGATTCCCAAGTAAATCGTGAGAAAAGCAAGCGTGGGCCACGAAGGGCATAAAATTCGAGGCCACAGAGGGCAGCGACGGGGCCGCTGAGGGCAGCACCGGGGCCACGAAGGGCAGCGAGGGGGCCACAAAGGGCGACAGCGGGACCACGAAGGGCATGCATATGGGGCCACGACTGGAGCGAGCGGGGGCCACGAAGGGCATTCGTATACGGGGCCACCAAGGGCGACAGCGGGGCCACTGAGGGCAGCAAAGGGGCCACGAAGGGCAGCAAGGGGGCCACGAAGGGCGACAGCGGGGCTACGAAGGGCATGCGCATGGGGCCACGACGGGTGCGTGCGAGCGGGGGCCACGAAGGGCATATCATGCGGGGCCACAAAGGGCAGCGACGGGGCCACTGAGGGCAGCAACGGGGCCACAAAGGGCAGCGACGGGGCCACTGAGGACAGCAACGGGGCCACGAAGGGCAGCGAGCGAAGGCGACCGCGGAACCAGTACGGGCAGCAAGCGGCATCGAAGGCGGGCGAAGGGCAGCGAGCAGCGACTGCAGTCATTAACGGGCTGGTCGGGCAGGGAGGCCCCGACCAGCCCGTTGATCAACAACAACAACAACAACCATCATCATCATCATCATCATCATCATCATCATCATCATCATCATCATCATGATCATGATCATCATCATCATCATCATCATCATCATCATCATCATCATCATCATCATCATCATCATCATCATCATCATAATGATCATCATCATCACCATCATCATCATCATCATGTTACCCTCATGCGCGATGCTTACACACGCAGCATGCGACCATCATGATAACCATCCCCATCATGGGAGATTATTGTTCTATCGCGGGGGTCCGTTATTCCCATTTCCAGATATCCCGCCCGATGAGGTCTTATACACCCCTCCTCCGAGGAATTTCAACGTATCCCGCCTTGAAAACCCATGCTCGCGCCATGCTGCGCCGATGCGACACCGCCAGTGGAGCCCCAGCCAAGGGTAAAGCACAAGGAAGCATCGAGCGACAGGATTGGCTTGGTGGGGATGGGGGCTGTCGGCGGCGAGGCAAGGACCTGGCCCTGAATAGAAAGGGAGGAAGTCTCGAGCAGGGTTGCTGTTGTTGCTGGGAGAGGCGCCAATGAAGACGACAGTAGGGCGCTAGTCCAGCGTGAAACAACACGAAGTCTCGAGCAGGAGCGCTGGTCCTGTTGGGACGGCGGTTGTCGGCGGCGAGGAGGAACACCGCCTTGAGTAAGAAGTGCAAAGTCTCGAGCGGGAGCCGCGGTTTTGTCGGGACGGGGGCTGTCGGCGGCGAGGAACAGCACCGTCTTCAGGAAAAAGTGAGGAAACCTCGAACGGGAGCGTTGTTCTTGCTGGGAGCGGCGCCAATTCAAAAGAGAGTTGGGCACCAGTCCAGCATAAAACGGGAGGGTGTCTCGGGCGGGAGCGCTGGTTTTGTTGGGGCGGCGGTTTTCGGCGGCGAGCAAAAGCACAGGCTCTGAGTAAAAAAAGGAAGTCTCGAGCGGGAGCGTTGCTCGTGCTGGGGGCGGCGCCGATGAGAGAAAGAGTAGCGCGCCAGTCCAAGGTAAAACGGGAAGCAGTCTCGAGCGGGAGCGTTGGTTTTGTTGGGGCAGCGGTTTTCGGCGGCGAGCAAGAGCACCGGCTCTGGGCAGAAGAAAAAGTCTCGAGCGGGAGCGTTGTTGTTGTTGGAGGGCCAGTTTTGGCGCCCCCTCAAACCGCTCGAGCGTGAGCTTCATTCTCAATGAAAATGTAGGAGACGCCGAGGCGAGAGCGCCAGGACGCCTGGGGGGGTCCAGTGATAACAATTGTTTAGATTCAACAACAACGACGACGACACCAACAACAACGACGACGACGGAGACGATGACGACGACGACGACGACGACAACAACAGCAGCAACAATACACACCGCAGAACTTCACTTCAGCCACGCGCCCAGGGACAGTGAATGACCGTGCGGCCCTTTCACTCTGATGTCCCCAGCCCAGTATAAACCACCCCCTCCTCTGTAAAAAGCAATATGGGCGCACACTCGTTGATCAAAAACCGTCCAAATTCAACAGTCCCTTGCAAAAAACAAGAAAACGGGACGACGTGACACGCGCGCATCGTCGCGCGCGAATGCCGACATCGCTGAAGAAACACAGTTTCGCAAGGATGTCTAAATTGAACGCCCTGGCAACATATAAAAAACCAGAAGATTGAAAAATGGCGTCTCAAGAAAGGTATGTTCACGCGCTCTTGCGCTGTGACGAACATGTGATCTTCAACATGTCCATCAAACTCTACCAAACGTGCGTCGCGCGCGACCAGGTCGAAGTTATTCGAACGCCTTTGCACGCATTCTGGGGGGGGGGCGCAGGGTCCCTGTCAAATATCACCATGCGGGCAATTCGCGCCCGTCGGCCGCGCGCGCATGCCAAAATCAGTTCACAACATTCATCACCGACACGTGGACACTATCATCGTCATCGGCGTGATCAGCATCGGCGCCGTCATTGGCCCTGCCGTCGTCATCGTCATCGTCGTCACCAGCATCGGTGCAATCATCATCGTGTCTGCCGTTGTCGACGACGTCATGATACTGCGCCCGCTGGAGTCACCGACTCGCACTGCAGTGCCCGCGCGTCAGCGCGGCCTGCGAGACGCGCTGGGAAGTCCACAACGGTCAGCGCCACCGCGGCCGCGTCGGTCGCGCCAGACTAGCTGGCCGCTCTGCGCGCGAGCCTGTGCGCGCTAGCGCGGCCGCAGCGATGCGCCAGCCAGCGTCAAGCAGTCGTCGCAATCGCGAGCAGTGGAGTTGACAGCTCACTGCAAACAAAAAAACAGTTAAACCACATAGACGGCACCACATACTATGCTAGAGAACACTGCTTGGGGCCCACGTTGGCTAACATTTGAAGGAAGAGGATGGGGAGCGAACACGCGGCGACGCATTCGTGAAGCCACCGGGCTACCTGAAATGGTGTGCACACGAATGGGATTGAAGCGTCCAGCCACGCAGACATGCTGAAGACCCAGGATCGGGGGGTATGCACTCCTGGCCAAGCCGGGAAAGCGCACACACCCATCCTGAGCCCAGGGTGGGCCTGCCCAGGATAGGTGCAGGTGCATCCCAGACTTCCAGCGTCGTGCCGAGGACTGGCTTTTCATCCCGAGTCGTTGTCTGACGGTGCCGGACCCAGTGAGGGCCCCCGAAATCCTAAAATTAAACAAACCCTCCCTCGTGCTGTTTGTTCACGACGCGAAGATGTCACGGTATAGTCAACGCCATCCGAATTCCAGAATCCGCCTCGCCACGCTGACGAAGTCGAACCTGCTGGCATCGTACCTGAAAAAAGGAAAAACGGGCACAGCATGAGAACTCCCTCGAAGAAGACTGCATGAGTAGACCCGCCCAAATTTCTTGGATCGACGCTGGACTCCCTCCCTGGCGGGCGGAGCGCGTCAGAGGCGGCGCAGAAGGCGCCGTAAAGGTGGGCCCAGCTCCGATCCAAGAAATCCGCGCGGTCCTCCGAAAGCGTACGTTTGTACCGCTTGTCTTCTCGCAAATCAGGACCGAGAAGGAGCGTCGAGGTTCGAGGATCGGGGAGGGGAGGGAGAAGGGAATGAGGATCGAGGATCGAGGATGAGGAAGAGGCGGAGCGTCCTCAAGACAATCCCAAATTCTTACATAGCCACTCTACGATAATGTTTGACAAAATTGCCTCTAGAAAGGAGGTCAGCGGCTTGCCGAGCGGCCTGGAGGAGGGGCAGGAAGAACATCGATAATCAAGGAGGAGGAAGAGGATCGCGGATCAAGGATCGACGATCGGGGAGGAGGAAGAGGAGCCCTTGCCACTCTTCGATCACGGTCTGCGCTTTGCTTCCCATCATTACTTAGGCTTGCTCCTCAAGGCAAGTGAGTGTAGGGACTGGGCTGCCCCGGAGTGTAGGGACTGGGCTGTCTCCATAGCCTTTCCAAATATTGGCGCCGTTTGGACAACACAGGGGAGGAAGGATGGCATTGCGAGGCGTATGTTAGCGGCGGGAGAGGATTAGTCACCACAACACCCTCGTCGAGGGCATGTTTACACAGAGCCACTATAATGCCGAGCCCAGCCACTGTGCACCAGGCGCCGTTTGGACGCCACCGTGGAGGAAGGAGGAGCTCTGAGGCGGAGGTTAGCGGCGGGGGAGGATGCATCACCACAAGACCCTCATCGAGGGCGTGTTCACACTGTGCCATCTAAGGCTGGGCCCCATCGTATGACTACTTGTACTCCACCAGGAGCATCGTTTATAGGCTGCACTGCCCCTCGGTGAGGGCCTTGACTCATGGATTGGGGGGCGGGATCTAGGGTCGGTTATGGTGGTTTAGTGGTGAAAGAACTTGCTGGTGCATACTAGCGCACCCCACTGCGGGCTCCATACTTGTCCACTCTCTTTGTTAATTATTTGTCCATGCTGCACTCCTGTCGCACGCTTCGATTGTATCGCACTTGACTCTCATCGTTTCTGTTGCCTTGCGCGTGTTAAGACGCGACGGCTCACGCAAGCCAGCGTCTGCCCAGGAACAACAAACACAAGCGAGATGAAAAGGAGGAGGAGGAGGAGATATCGAGGATCGAGGGTCGAGGAGGAGGACGAGGAGGAGATCCTGGATGCTCCAAACGTTTGTGCCGACAGGTGGTGTGTTTCTTCCTCGGGGCCACCGCAGCCGCGCGGGAGCCGCGAACAGCGGGCGCCAGGGCGGCGGCAGTCGGAGCCACGCCGCCAGGGCCGTGGAGCCCCGCTCCGCGGGCGCCGCCTGGCCCCGAGGGAGGAGGGGCGGTCGGAGAGATCGCTGGGAGGAGGACGCAGATCTCATCCTCGCGACTCGGCGACGGCCGACGCAGACCATGATCAACCAAAAGGTACCGATACCGCTACACCCTGGACCTATCCCTGGGTGCGCCCCGACGACAATTTCGGGGCAGATCCGGCCGTGGCGACGAGGGCTTCCCAAGAGAGCCACAAAGACTGACACGAGGAAATGGTAGCAGTACTAGAGAAGGGGTCCGAGCTGATGGGCTCGGAGGATCGCGCCGCATCGCCGACGCGTCGGCGACGCATCGGCGCCGTCGGCGTGCACGAGATCCGCCGACCCTGTCGGCGTGGGTGAGGGGCTCGTCCGTTGAGTCGTCGTCTCCGTCCGTCGTCGCCTCCGTCGTTCACTGTCCCTACACAATCCTCCTCAAGCTTGTCAGCGAGAGAAAAATCCGCCGACCCCTTGTGGGTCTCTAAGCGTGTGAGATTATCCCCCCTCCATCATCCCCCCCCCAAGGACCCCAAACCGGCAAGTCGACCCCCCCTCCTTTGCCCAGCGCGACCCCGGACCGAACGCGTCACGGGGGAGCGGACGGCTCCAAAACTGGCCAAGAAGGCACCAAAACGCCCCCCAGACGGTCCCAGGGGGCCACGATTCGCCGAAATATCGCCCTGGACGCCCGCGATGGCCTCCAGGCGGCCTCCGAAGCTGCCAAGACGCCCCAAAAGGCCCCCTGGATGCGCCGAAAGAGGGCCCCAAGAAACAAAATTCGCCCCACTCCCGTCGAAAAACAACAATTTTTCGCATGCTCGTCTACTCGGTTTTCAAAACGTCCCAGACGGGCAAGAAGGCCAGAGGGGCCCCCAAGCAGGGTCGAAGAAGGTCCAACAACAGCCGCCGAAGCCCCCAAGACAGCCCAAGAGGGCCCCCCGACAGCTCCAAGACGGAGCCCAGAGGACACCTTTTCGAACCTTCGGCCCCAAGACGCGCCCCAGCCTGCCCCAAGAACAGCCCAAGAGGCCCCGAAGGACCCCCAAGATAACCTCAAAGGCCTCCAAGAAGCCCCCAGGAAACCCCCAAAAGGCCCCAAGACTTGGCCCAAGATGCCTCGATGCGGCCGGATATGGCAAGCACACAGGCCAAGATGCAACCAAAAGGCCCCTAAATAGCACCAAGAGGTACGATAACAGCAACGAAGCAACAGGAACGATGCCGAGCGCCGTGCCATGATTCGGACAAGCCGCGTGAACCGCAGTCCTGGAGACGCAGTAGTTTATATAGGGGTCGGCGGATGTGGCGTAAGCCTATAGAATCTGGCAATGTGGTAATCAAGTCGAAGGGAAGCCCCTTCCTTTTGATCCCTCCCCCGTCGGGGGGGGGGCCGGAGGGAGTAGGGGCGGGGGTAGGGGGGGGTCAAGTTAGCCAACTCGAACAAGCCAGAAGGCCCCATCCACTCCCACCCGCCCTCCCGCAACATAAACAAGGAAATGTGTCGCGTCCGACGCCTGTCGTTCATCTTATATCGTGGGCGGTTAGACGCTCAGCGCGCGACATGAGCTGCGTCCTACTCCTGCCGCGTATTGAACAACGTCGACGAGAAACAAGACCGCGCGCGATGTACGCCGCGCCCCCTCTCAGGCCTCTCATGTTGCAACGCCGGCGACAACATATCCAGCGCGCGAAGTGCGCTGCGTCTTCTTCCAGCCACGCGCGTTGCACTGCCGATCGTTTCGCTCCTGCTGCGCATGGAGGAGGGGGAGGAGGAGGGGGAGGAGGAGGGGAGGGACAGAGGGAGGGAGGGAGAAACTGAAGAGGAAGAGGAGAATGCCTCTTGGGAATTCGCGGGGCGTCCTGGGAGTTTTCTGGCATACGCCTGACGGCTTCTTGGATATATCTCCCGGGTTGGAACATTGTCAACACAAGTAAGTGCTAACCTCACAATCCTTCAAACACCAAATGACAATCAATATTTGTGATGCTCCTCCACGACATCCTGGGCGTTTTTTTTTCTACCTCTTGGGGGGTTCCTGAGGCACTTGCTTGAACCGCACTTGCCTGAGGCATTATGACTTGCCGCCCGCCCAGCTCCTCAACCCGACGGGCCGCAGCGTCGACGACAAGAAAATTCATGTTGACGAGCAGGCGTCCCCGCGCGATGTGCGCCGCGCCCCACTCCCGCTACGCGATTCGCAACGCCGACGAGGGGAAAGTACATGCTGGCAAGAAAAACGTCGACGTAGGACGAATTCCCGCGTGGAGTTGGCCAGGCGTGCGCGCGCGATGCGCGCCGCGTCCCATTGCTGCTTCACTTTTCGCAGCGTCGACGACAATAAAGTCAATGTTAACGAGAAAAGCATTGACTTTGTATTGTTTTTGATAGGTAGGACGCGACCACCCGCTCAGGGCTCCCAAGCGATGTTCATTCCGTCCCATTATTGCTACACTTCCCGCAGCTCGACGACATGTTGGCGAGAAAAAAAAGCTTGCATCGTTTTTTTGCCAGTTGGGGCGGCGGGGTTGCTATCGGCCGGCTAGGTGGGGATGCGGGGGCGTTTAACCAGAAGAAGTGAGGATCAGGGGGGCGGTGGGGGGTCCGATACGCACCTCCCCTTGGCGGCCCTGGGGCCTCAGACAGCACCAAGACAAGCCCAAAGTGCACAAAGAGGCCCCCGAGACGGTCCAAGAGGGCCCCCAATCGCCAAACGATCGGTCCAAAACATCTCCACGCCCGCCAGACTGCCCAGAAGGCCTCCAGGACGCCCCTAGAAGCCTCCAAGAGCACCCTCGAGAAGACCCCAAGAGGCCAAATTGATTGATTTCCCGTTTGTCTTTTTAGGATTTGGGCGTTCTCGCGATTTCCACTTCCCGCCGCTCCAAGACGACGCAAGAGGCTCCCAGGATCGCCCCAATACGGATTAAGGGGCCTCCAAGAGGACACCGAAACAGCCCAAGATGACCGCGAGGCACCCCGAAACGCCGCCAAGGCGGCCTAAGAAGCCCCCAAGATAACTCCAAGAGCGCGCCCAGGCGGGGGACCCGAACGGACACTTCGAGCGCTCGGCCCCGAGAGGCCCCCAGGAAGCTCCAAGAGGTCCCCAAGAGGCCCCAAAAGAAGCCCACAAGAGGCCCCCCGGAAGCCTGAAGAGGCAGTTTGAAGGGGGCTGGAAGGCCCAGCCAACAGCTCCGCCTCAGGCGAAGCCAAGCCCCCACTCTGTTGTACCGTTGTAACGATAGTCCCAGTATGAGAGGAGATGTCATCTCAAGCAACAAGAAGATCTTTTTGGTCTCGATAGCGATTGTGCGCCTCGCGGTGAGGCACAGTCAAATGGGCGGCCGGCCGCTTGAGCCGACGCGGCCGCGGGCGCACGCTCGCCTCCACTCCGCGCGCCCCTCAGCTCGCTTTAGAGTCGGGGGGGGGGGGGGGGGGCGAAGCGCGAGCCCGACGCCCCTGCACAGCAGGCGCAGCAGCTAACCTACACAAGGACAGCAAAGGAAACAGGCCCAGAGGAAAGTGAACCCGCCAGCAAGTTCCCTCGCACATGTATGACACACTTATCCGGCGGCGTCAGAACTCGATGTCTGGCCGGCCCGATATGGAGTATGTCTCTTCAGGTCATGTTTGAAGGTATGTATACCGCCCATGACATGTAGGAGCATGTCTCGCCCCCCTTGGCGTGGCCATCCACAGTCATATCGCGGGTATCACACCACTGAATGCTGAGCACGATTCCGCGCTCCATCATCTGTCGCATCCAACTGATGTGTCCTAAAATTGTACACTCAGTCGGCTTCTTCAAGTCTTTGCTTGACAAAGACATAAAGACAGACTCAGCATCGATGGTCAAAGTGACCTTGATGCTCAGGCCACCCAACTCCAGTATATATTTCAACTGAGTGGGCGCGAGAGGCCCCGCGTGGAGCTTGTGCAGAGTCACAGTCGTGGGATAAAGTTATCCAAATTATGGGCTGCTGCTAGTGTCTCTGCTGAATAGCTCGAGCGGACCTGCAAGCGGCGAGACTTGCAGTACGCATCAATCAAGTGAACGACAGGCTCACCAGATGACGTGTTTCCACGTCGTAGCAGGTTTGCCCCGCGAAAACCATTGCATTTGACGTCGTCGTCGGCGTCTCCACTCAGGCATCGATATCCTGAGTCGCTATGTAAGTCGACCTCGCCCGTGGGGTCCATCGCCTGGTAGACGGTCTTATTCGGGCATGCCTGTAACTTTCTTGTGATCGCGTTCAGTCGTCGTCCTTGAATGTTGGTCGGTTCTTGGACACGCTGTAGAGATACAACATACACCATTAACCACGCCTGGGCGATCAGTGCGTATGCCAGCGCACCCCTGGGGCTGACGATCATGTATGCCACCATCTTGGTTGTTTGCTTGAGCGTCAGGGTCAGCGCCGGTTAGTTCGGGATGTTGTATAGGACGGAGCTGTTTAACATATTCATCTTGATCCAAGGTAACATTGCCGTCCTGGTCCTTACTGTATCTCACAGCACAGTTAGTATGTGTGTGCTTGTTGAGCTTACACTTACCGAAAGTATCTTCAACGCATTTGACAGATTTGTCAATGGTGTCCTCAGTACCGGCCATATTACTGTCATCAACATGCTTGGCCGTGAGCAAGTCATTGCTCGTCTCGAACTCCTCGTCGTAAGACGTGGGTCGGAGGCCAAATCCTCTGGTGGTTCTTCTGAGCTTAAGTGAGAAAGCCCGTGAAGCGTCCTTAGTGCCTGTGCCCGGTTTCAAGCACTGCAGGCAGTGCTTTGACACGTCGTAGCTCTCGAATCCTGAGAGAGCACGGAGCACAGCGGCCGATCCAGGCGGCAAAATAAAGCACACCACGCGTTCCTTTTCACCAGTAGCCCCAGCAAGTTCCTGATAGACCAATCCCTTCAGGTAGCAATGACCCACTGCTTCTTGCACGCTGCCGTGCTAGCGAGTAACCCCTGGCTTGACCTTCTTGCTGTTCCCGAAACATTTCTACGTCGA